AGTCTACAGTAGACTGCCAACAAAACACACAAATCTGCCTCTGCATTTTGGGGGGGAAAACTCTCTTTTTAATGTAAAACTGCTGCCAAGGGAGTCATCTGAATGTGTTTTAAAATCATTTTTTACAACTATTAAGGGAATCCACCGTCCTAGTTAGACACACACTCACTCACCTATAAATCTACCATAAAAAGCAACAGTGGATATTCATCTTACACCACATCCATACTTTCAGAATTAAACGGTGTTAACATACGGTTTGTTGGTTAGAACCTTGAATTTTTTTTTGCTGTACACGGGCCTCTCACTGCTGTGGCCTCTCCTGTTGCAGAGCACAGGCTCCGGATGCGCAGGCTCAGCGGCCATGGCTCACGGACCCAGCCGCTCCGCGGCATGTGGGATCTTCCCGGACCGGGGCACGAACCCGCGTCCCCGGCATCGGCAGGCGGACTCTCAACCACTGCGCCACCAGGGAAGCCCAGAACCTTGAATTCTTTAATCATAGACTGTTTCCATAAATCAGCCTATCAAAAGAAAATTTCTCATTTATAATTTATTATAGGTTAAATCTCAAAATTAACAGAACTTCCCCAAAATGGTTTGCTTTACTGAAATCTCATTGTTATGGGTAGAAGGTTGGAAGAACGAGGACACGACAAAGAGCCGGCACCCACACCAGCCACTTTAGGTGAGAAGTGCCACAGATCAGCACCGAGCACAGGGCCCGCCCGACTTTCAGTATTTTCTGAGCTTAAGGGGATGAGATGGGACGTGTAGTGAAGGGCTGGCGAGGACGGAGAGCGGAGCCCACTCCTGCCTGTCGTGGTGACACCAACACCCGCTGGGGGCAGACTCTGCAGTCAGGGAGCCATGACAAATCCTGAACACAAGGCAACAGGAGCTGGTGACAGAACCGAACAAGGGAGGGATGAAGACAGGGCATTTTGAAGGAGGAACTAATAATACTCGGTAGTCACTATGGAACATCACAGTCTCGGAGAGAAGGCTCGAAACAGAGAAGCTGGATGTGGCTTGGAGAGCAAATGAGATCAGTCTGGGGAGGTTGTGATGGTGGGGAGGGCAGGTGGGCCACGGGGAAGCCCTGCGGGCAGGCAGAGAGGCCACTGGGGCTCAGCTGGAAGGCAACCAGCTACCAGCGAGAACAGTCAGAACCGCTCCGGCCAAAACAGAGCTGAAAAACCCCACAGCAAAGTGGACTAGAACAGAGAATCAGGTCCCAGAGGTACCTCCTGCGCGTCCATTTAGAGAAGAAGACACAACCGGAAGAGCAAAGTATTCTCCACAGAAGCTAAGGCCAAGAGATGACTCAAGAAAAAAGGATGAGAACCTGGTCCAGAAGCTTGGAAAACACTGCATGTTACATCCCCTCCTTAAAGGGGCCAAAACGCTCTAGAAAACAGTCCTGGTTACACTTTGCAAATGTATCACGTGAACGGTGTTCACACTCTGGAAATCACTGAGCCCGAGACATGCAGGGGAACCCACTTAAAATAACAGGAAAGAATCTAACAGAACCTGAACAAGGAGAAGCCAAGTCTGAGTTTCAAGGGACTGAAGTGCTTTGAAAACTCTGGCAGTTTAGACTTTAAAATTTTTGAAACATCTTTGCAGTTAATGTTACCAACCAGCATTTCCCAGGTTTAAAAAGTACTTTCAACGTATGGCACCTCCAAGAAATTGTGAACCATGTGTGCTGTCATCCTGCTGTTTGTTGGTCCTCAGTAGTGAGGACGGATTAATGCTGGTCCATGTGCTTAAAACAATTTCTTAGAGACTTCCTGTGATAGTATTTAGGGTTTCTATTTAGACCAGGAATAAACTGAAGCAGGAACCATTTCTAGACAACTACACGTCTAACTCCGTACTCATGAGGATCCCGATCTCCGCGCCACTTCCCACACTGCTCCCCAGAACACGGGCGTTTGCAGATGCTCATCGACGCTCCACTGAAGAGGGAAGAAGCGAACGCAGCCGTTCACTCCAGACCACGCCTCTACTGCATGGCACGCCATTTTTCACATTTCTGATTCTAAAGTCAGTATGTGCTCTACAAAACAAAACATACTCTTTAACATGGTGGTAGGGTTTTCTTCCCCCAAAGGCTATTATTAAACTAAGGGTACACCTTACACACATACACAAGTACATACACACACATATCCTGTAAGATACACATTCTCTGTAAAATAATGTCTCCCTATAAGACCCTCAATGCACATTAACATATTAAAAGCCCCCCAATATGCAACCTAGCGTTTCCTAAATGTACTTCCTCACAGATCTTCCCTTCCACTCCAGTATCTTACACGTCACAGAACACAGGTGGGCAAATACTGCTCTAGGCAAATCAAAAATTACTGAAAATGCAGGGAATGGTAAAGCTGAGCTCCTTTATTATAAAAATAATAGTGACTAAACAAAGCTTCATAATGTCAAGTGATGACAGGTGTTACAGGCTTCACCATAAATGCCCCAGTTAAACTGCAGACATTCAAAAACAGAACACACAACGTCCCGCACAGGACAAAGGCGCCAACACACGGGACACTTGCAGAGGTACCACTGAGGAGCAGCGGCAGCAAAACTGCTCATCAGGCCAAGCGTCTTCAGCACCCCTAAGCCCTCCCTTCTGACTTTTGGGTCCCCTGTGGGTAGACATTCATCACCCTCTGGTTTCAGGAGTCTCTATCTGAAGACTGACTAGTGAACCATTCCTGCACCGAGTGTCCAAGGCTACCTTCACCCTGGGACTTCTGTCCAAAATGAGGCATTTATTTGCAAGAAGCAGAAAGCTGAGGGGGAACAGCTCCAAAGCCACCAAAGTGGATTCAGCCCAGTCTCTGGCACATTCTAAGTGCTGAGGAATAGTGGTTATTACCACAGGCAAGATGATTCTGTAAGACAGGAAAAGTCAGAAGAAATCACTCTTGGACTTTTTTCTTCTCCACCCTCCCCCAAACTGAAGTCCCCTAGTTCCCAAAGACAAACTCAGGGCTCGGGGAGGGAAAAGGCCTCCAGCCCTCATGCCTGGGCCTCCAGCTGGGACTGAAGTCTGCTGTCTCCTGTTTCTCAGCCTCATCCACGATTTCAAACCTTTCCTTCCAGTCTGACCAGAGCAGGCCTCCCTCCCCACTGCAGGAAGGGGGCTCTGAGCTCCCTGGCTTTTCTCCCACATCCTGACTTACGGAAGCTGCCCAGGCACACTTAACTATGTTAGCTAATAGGGGACACGTTCTGTGCACCTGTTTCTCAGATGGCCAAAAGTATCCCTAATTTGTGTCATTTAGAATACGTTTCTTAAATCAATAGTAACATTTCAATGTTCCAGGCTACAGCACAAAATGTGTCAAAAGAATTTTTCTAATTTTTAGCAAATTTACATTCTTAGGCATGACGACGACAGGTTTAAACATCCATCTACTATTGCTAGGAGTTGTAAAGTTAGCAAAAAAGGACAGGAAGTTCACAGCATCTCTAAGAAAAGGAAACTTCCCCACTGAAGACAATTCACTAGTACATAATCCACTGTAATTCAACAAAATAACAAAACATAAACGAGGTTCATGAGATTAAGACAGTTTCATGGAGGGTGTGAAACTTGCAGGGGCCTAAAGCAGCTGAAGGATTAAGATGGGGGGATGGGAAGATGAGCTGCAAGGAGAACCTGAGGGCTGAGAGTCAGATATTTACCCTACGTGTCAACACACCTGGCAAGGGACCTGCAAATAAAGCAAACACCAGAGTGATTCCAGCACTGAACTGAGTGAGCAGAAACCTCTCTCAGAAGCAGGCTCACTGCTTCTATTGTCTTTTGTCTTCATAAGCTAACCCACCGCATTATAAATACATGTGTGCTGTAGAAAGTTGGATGAAAAAATAAAAACCAAAAGAATAAACTAAAAATAACCCATAATTCCACTATTCAGAGATAATCACTCAAAACATTTTGGCTTATTATCCTTTAAAAAATGTACACACACACTAAAAAGAAAAATTTCAGCATTACATATACTGTTTTACAGCACGTTTTTGTCTCACTGAATACAGAATTACAGAAATGCAAAGACTTATCTAAAAATGCTGAGATCATAATCCTTAATAGCAAAACCTGAAAACAAATGTTCAATAAGAAAGCATTAAATAGTGTACCCATGACAGAATATTAATCAATCATTTTTTATATTTTCTTAAACTAAATCCTTAAAAGTAGATTAGCTATTTCTAAGTGTATAAATACATATATATATATTTTTTACATAGTGCTCTCAGAAAAATCATTCTTTTTCAGGCAATGAATGAATGGACTCATTTCTCCATACCCTCACCAGAAGTGGCTTATTTTTCAATCTATGCCCAAGTTTTTAAAAACAGTATCTCACTGATATACTTTTCCAAGAGTACTGCTAGTAAAGCTGAAATTTTTGTCTTGTTTCTGGATCCTTCTTTTAAAAATTACCAGTTTGCTCATTTTTTTTCCCCACGGGGGAGGGGAGGGCATCGTCTTTACCTTAGTTTTTATAAGCCCTCTTTTTATAGTAAGCAAAGTAAATTTACTTGTTAAGTTACAATATCTCTTTCAGTTTGTCATTTGCTTTTTAATTCTGTTTAAGGCATTTTAACCTGCAGAAGTTTAATTATTCTAAAGTAATGAAAAGAGCCTTTTCCTTTACAGTTCCTACTTTTGGTGTTATGCTGAGAGGGTTCCTCCATCCTGAGATCATTTGTATTATCTTTTGGTTCTTAAAAACTTCGGTGGGGGGCTTCCCTGGTGGCGCAGTGGTTAAGAATCCGCCTGCCAACGCAGGGGACATGGGTTAGAGCCCTGGCCTGGGAAGATCCCACCTGCCGCGGAGCAACTAAGCCCGTGCGCAGCAACTACTGAGCCTGCGCTCTAGGGCCCACGAGCCACAACTACTGAGCCCGCGCGCCTAGAGCCTGTGCTCTGCAACAAGAGAAGCCACAACGAGAAGCCTGCGCACCGCAATGAAGACCCAACGCAGCCATAAATAAATAAATAAATTTATTAAAAAGATAAAAACTTGGGTGGGGGGGATATTTTAAAAACACACAAGTTCATCATCCTAAAATTACAACCATCTTTACTACTTTATAAATATTTTCACTAGTACATACACATTTTAAGCACACATTTCATACAATCTGTTTTCCAAAGTATTTTCTGACATAGGCCTTTTTTAAAAATCGTAGCTTGTTAGATATGAACAGTCTTAAATGGTTTCATAAATTTAAGGCCAGTGAGTCACATCACACCAACTTAACAATAGTCCCGAAGTTCCAGAACTGCTCCTTTCTATCCCATCAGTGCCCAATTACTCCCCTTCAATGTCCCCCAGTTACTAAAAGACCGAGAAGAATAAGCTCATTCTTGGTAGGCAACCCAGTTCTGCATAATGAATTCGGTCCTAATTATCAATGATAAGATACCAATCTTGAAAGCATTTCAACTTTGCTCTCTTCTCCTCTTCCACCTTCATATAAATTAGACACTTTGGGAGCATCCCGTTAAAAGCTGGAGCCCTGGAGTCTCCCTGTCATGTTTTAACCCAGGCCTCACCACTCACGAGGCCTGATCTTAACCACCCAAAGCCTCAGCCGCTTCCTCGACGCCGTCAGAGGACTGAACAACAGCACCACACTCTGCGGGGCCCGATCAAGATTTTAAGTGGGTCGATGATCGTGAACAAAGTGTGAGTTTCATGAGTTGCAGCAGGTAGCGCAACGGCACAGGGACACCTGCCCGTCACAAGGTCTCGGCCCTACAGGAGGTCTGTCTATTCCAAAGGAACCACGAGTCTAGTCCAGGGTTAACTGCTAGGACAGTGACCCGGGTGGGGCCTCACGGGACCGCAGGGAAGGCTCCCACCCCGGATGGAGCATCAGGACCTGAGAGGAGCCTTTCCAAAGCAGCAGGAGTCTGTCGGGCGACAGGAAGGGGACACAATACTCGAGACCGCGGGAGAGCATGAGGAAAGGGCAGCAAAGCCAATTCTGGGAACAGGCGCTGCAGTGATGGGGAAGCTGCCAGGAGACTCTGCTCACTTGATCCCAGAGTCCCAAGGGAAAACATTTAAATGACCAACAAGCCTAGGCTTCACAACCCTGCCTCTCAAACACGAATAAGATTACGCTTTACAGGATGGTTCCTCAAATGTTGTTAACGTTAGAAGCTATGGCATTCGCACAGAACCCAGACTTTGAGGGCCTGAAGAAAACTTAAGAGTCAACTGAAAACCATCTCACTTTATAAATGAGGAAATAGAGGCTCAGCAAAGTTAAGTTCAAACCAGATCCCATGTCTTCTCTCCCAAGCAACATCTTCTATACCTAAGCAAAAATACATGAATAAATTACACACACATCTCTTTCAGAAGCTATATCCCTGTGAATAAAAAATTTAAAAGCCATCAAATATAATTCTGTTTATAGTGTGCATTATTAAATGGACACATTATAAACAAAGAGCTTAAATCTTTAGCAATAAACCTAAGGTTTTATTTAAATTTGATTTACTCCTCATTTCATGTTCACGTCTCAGTTTTGAAAGGCAAGTGAAAGAAGAGAATTTGTTGAGAAACTACCTGATATCCCTCCCCCCAAAGAAAGAAACAAAAAAGCAAGGTAAACTTTTCATTGGTTCTTAAAAATGGTACATTCTTTTCTCCAGGCATACCTGAAAGACAAGCCCAAAATTCAGCCAATGGTCCCCAAAAGACATCTTATTCCAGACTCAACTGCTGAGGTAGAAAGCCCATGGCCTTGGAACCTATGCAGGGCTGAAACAGCGAGGAATAAAACACAAACACGCTCCTGTGTTTTGGGGGGCCCTAATTTTCAACTTGAAGGATGGCAAGTAACTACTCCTCAATCTAAACCACATTCCTTTGACCTTTCCTTGCTGAAAGAAAGGCATACTATGCCTGCTGGGAAAACTGGGTGTGAACTTCTGATAAAAGGCCCTCAAGGACCCAAGAAAGGTCTCTCCTGTGAGAAAGGTCACTCGGGCTCTATTACCACCACTGCATTTGCATCATCTCTCCAACAGGGAAGAGCCTTAACTCACCAAACGATTTCACTTCAAAGGTAAGGCTGAAACATTTAACCTGAGGGGAAAGACCTCAATCTTGTTTAAAAACACACACACAGATTTTAGAAATCTACCCTAAAACTAGCTTTGAAACAACAAAAAAAGCAAATTAAAGGTTCACAACTTGTTTTCTTGGCACTTTCCTGGATTGCCATAGCTGAAGAAAACCTGCGCAGTTTTTCTGTCGGGGCACTGTGTTAGTTTCTGGGGTGCTGTAATAACAATTATAATTAAGCTTGCTTTCTTACGCAATGGAAGTGCAGTGACTGCTTCTGTAGCCAAAATCGGAGGTGGTCAAACACTCGGTGTAAGATAGAATTATTCCAAATTTATTCACTCAAAAAACAACTGAGGTACCCATGACAAAGTTCTATGCTATTTACTTTGGGGATGCAAAAATACAGAAGAAGTATCTCCTGCCTTCAAGCAATTCAGTCAGAAAAGTATGGGAAGTAAGGCTGCACTGGCAACCCAGACTAAGTTAATTATCTCTACAAGGTAATATTCAGCAACAGGCAAAGGAGTCGACCGGGCGGTAATATCTAAGCAAACTGCAGAATCAGCCCAGGCATTCACTGGGCTGTTAGTTCCCCGAGGTGGTGGGCGGTAAAAAAAGGGGGTGTACCAGCAAGGACCTGAGCCGGTGGCCCTAAGACACAGAGGATACTACAAATCGGTGAGAAACCCTACTACTACAGCTAAAGGTGTTTTTTGGTTTTTGTGGGGATTTTTGTAACGTAAGTTTTTAAAAGATGACTCCAATGACAAAAAAAGTTAAATATTTTTAGACAGTATTTCAGCCACCCCTCTCCAGCTTAATAAGCACTCTGTCTCGAAACCTCCAAAAACGGGCATAATAGAGTTAAAGCAAGCCAGTCTGTTCGCATGCTTCGGAATTTGAAATGCGATGCCCATGGAAAGCAACAAATAGAACGTTGAAGTAAGTTTTTTTCTAATATCCAAGAACACTTAGATCAAGAAAACGTCATATCCAATTTTTTTTAGACGAAATATTGCTGCTTTTTAAACAACATTCCCCATTTTGCTACACAACCCACAAACGCTCCAGGATTTCGGAAAATTGGGTAGATAGAGTGGCCACAAAATGAAGTGTTAACCTTACAACTGCACACGCTTTTGCAGCGTGTTAAGATATGCCGAGGTCCTAGAAGCTGGGGCCGTAAAGTGAATTTAGTTCCCTTCTGTGACTCCGACGAGTGCATTTCCAAAACTGAGAGACTACTCCACTCCTAACTTGGACTGTTTTAATGCCCCTACGGGGAAGGGCAATTACACAGAGCAAATAAATACCTGAGTTAACTGCAATTCCCCATTTGCACCCTCACCACTAACCCCAACTGCGAACTATGAGCAACAACAGGGATCCAATCGGAAAAGAGGATCCTATTTTTGGCAGAGAGCTCGTTAAAGGGAGAAAACCCCGAACTTTGGAGGATTAGTCTCAAGAAATGCTCACCAATCGTTTCTCCCCGAACCAGCACTTGGCCTACAGCACACCCGGGCGGAGGCAGGGGTGCGCGGGGCGACCCCTGCACGCGGGCGGCGGCCGTCGCCCTGGTTACCTGCGGGGTCAGCGCGCGCTCCCGCCGGGCGCGGGACCGGGGGCGCGCCAAGGCGGCGGAGCAGGCCGGGCCCGACTCGCGGGCGCTCGGCCGGCGCCGGGGGGCCCCGTCCGGCCGCCGCACTGGCATCCCTGCGCGCCTCCCCGGCCCGCTCCCCCAAGAGAACAGGGCAAAGGGGCGACTATTACCCAGTAATAGCGCCCCGCACAGTCGCAACAATGCGGGCGAGGAACCCGGGAGCCGCGGGCAGGAAACCGGAAAGCAGAGAGCCCGGCTCCGCGGCTCCTTCAGCGCGCGAGCCCAGTACTTTACTTGAGAGAACGAGTCCGGGGCAAGCGACGCTCGGGGGAGAAGTGATCCCGAGGGGGCGAGGGAGAGAGGGCACGGGTCCGGGCGCCCCGCGGGGGTCGCCGCCCGAGGAGAGGCGAGGTTCGCACGCCCGGCCACCCGAGGCCGCCCGCCGGCCCGGCTCCGCGGTCCGAGCCCGGTTGCGCTGGGAAAGGGGCGGGCGCCATGAATCGGGCTTTTTCCCAGTGCGTAGTCCGGGCCTGGCCGCCCCGTGCCCGCGACCGGGGCCGCGGCCCGGCCAGGCCCGAACCGGCCGGGGTGACTCAGGGCCGGGCCGCGCGCTCCCCTCCCGCCCCCGGCGCCCTCCGCCCACGAGTACCCCGGCCCAGCCGCCATTCCGCCCAGCCACGACTCGGCGGCTCAGGCCTCGCCCGGCGCCTGGGCTCGGCCGCCGCGGCCCCAGTCACTGCGACACCGCGGCTCCGCGCCGGGCCTGCGCCGCCGACTCTCCTCGGCCCCGGCGCCGTCGACACTCACCCGCATTTCCCGGGTGCCTAAATGGCTCCGGCGACGTCTCCACCTGGTCGCTGGGCCCGGCCCCGGTTAAATCCCCGTCCCGCCAAGGTCTCGCCGCGTCCCTCAGCCGCCGGGGCTGCCCCGCCTGGAGCTGCGTGCGACACGGCTCCCGCCTCCTCCTCCTCCCGGCCCGCCCGCCCTCCTCCCGCCGCCGCCGCCGCCGCCGCCGCCTGCACCACGCAACCTCCGCCCTCTAGCCTTTCCTCCGCCGCTCCCCGCCCTCCCGGCCTCACCGGCTACGGCTCCCGTGGGGGAGAAGCTGGTGGGGGAGGGCCGGAACGCACCGCCATCGGCGTCCGGGGCGGGGGAACCGGGAAACCGTCGCCGCCATCTCCCCACCAGCCCGCGGCGCGGGAGGGGCCCGGAAACCTCCCGCCCGCCGCGGCCCCGGTTCCCGGTCCCCCAGCGCCACCGAGGACCCGCTCGCGGGGCTGTTCTCTACCTGAAAGCCCGCGGCCCCTGGCCCCGAACCCCGGCGCCCTCCCCGGCCGGGCGCAGCGGATCCTCCTCCAGGTTTTACAGCCTCCCTCTCCTAGAGGCCGCCTCTAAGGACCCGGCTTCCCGCCACTTCGGGCCGAACGAGGAGGGGTCACCTTCTTAGGTCGGGGCAGCAGCCTGGGGAGCAACTGCCCCAAGACACCCCGGAGGAGGGGGTCTTACATTCCCACTCCTCCCCCACTCCTGCGCGCACACACGTGCACCCGGTGGATCTGCCTCCCCGGCTGGGAGAATAACCAAAAGCCATATCCCGACCGGCTGAAAGAGTCTGAGATGGGCGAGTGGCCCTGAAAAGCAGGTACAGGCTAGAGATAAACGTGTCGTCCATTCTCGAGCCCCAGGACACCTGCGGGCCTCGGCGATACGCACCTGAAAGCCCGAGCTCCTCGGCGCCTCTCTCCCTCTGTTTCTTTAAAATCAAACCAAAACTAGCTTCCCTCTTCAAACTCTTTAACCGACTCTTTTTAAGGCAAATGTTGACAAAGATTCCCTTTACCATTAATCTCTGTAAAGACAAATCAAAAACTGAAGATTTTACATATATGGATGGGATGAGGTGTGACTATAGGATTGTTTTCACGTGGGGTCTGGAGTAGTTCATCGCATTCAGGTGAAATTAACTCACAATTGGGTACTTGAAATACAAATTTTGGCAGCACAAATAGCCACCTGGCTTCCTAGGGTCGCACAGGTGAGAAGCGTGGACTTGGAGGGGCTTCTGCCTTCATACCCGTGGTCCATGAACAAGCGTGGAAGGATTTCAGATTACCTGGGCAACAAACTTGATGAATGTTAACTTCCTGTTTTGCTCCAAACTAAAACATTAAGCATCACCTTGGGGTGGAAATCCTAGGCCCAGAGCAGAGGGCTACCCCCATAGTCTTCTCTTTCCTGAGGAATATGGGTTGCTCTTAGAAGAAATATCCCACTAGTAGATGTGGTTCCTCATATTAAAAAGTGGTCTTTTGTCAGCACCTGTTAAGTATCTTTAAAAATATGGCATTTGTCTATACTTGTCACCGAAGTATGTGATCTCAGTCTGTGTGAGGATTTTTAGATTCTTGGTTTATACCCTGTATTTCTAAATATTCAAAAGAAACTTGGATGCATTTAACTTTTTTGTGGGCACTTGGTAAGACTGAAGGTACAAATGGAAGGCTTGTCCCTGCAGACAATGCTTTCCACTGTAGGTATATGGCTTCTCTTAGATCCTTACTTCTTCCCTGTGCTTTCCTCAGACAAGGTATCTCATCTCCAGTTTCCCTTAATCTGCCCTCTCCCATCTCATCATTCAATATGGTCTCCTTGCCTGTGACTTCCCAGAGCTAATACATGAGCTGAGTGGTTCAACTTTCTCTTTACTGTTTTTTTCTTCCAACCTCTCTTTTTCCTTAACAGAAGGATTTAGTCCACCTATACCATCCTCCTCACTTCTCATTACCTCAATTCCTGGTTCTTAACTTCCTTCTAGCCTTTGCCCTCCACTCATCTGCACTATTATTCTTAGCTCTTAGACTATGACATTGACTTTTTTAAAAAACAAATTTATTTATTTATTTTTGGCTGTGTTGGGTCTTCATTGCTGCGCACAGGCTTTCTCCAGTTGCAGTGAGTGGGGGCTGCTCTTCATTGCAGTGCGCAGGTTTCTCATTGCGGCGGCTTCTCTTGTTGCGGAGCATGGGCTCTAGGCACGTGGGCTTCAGTAGTTGTGGCACGCGGGCTCAGTAGTTGTGGCTCATGGGCTCTAGAGTGCAGGCTCAGTAGTTGTGGCGCACGGGCTTAGTTGCTCCATGGCATGTGGGATCTTCCTGGGCCAGGGCTCGAACCCGTGTCCCCTGCAGCGGCAGGTGGATTCTTAACCACTGCGCCACCAGGGAAGTCCCCTACGCCATTGACTTTTATGTCCACTTCACAACCGGTTGCATCTATACCACTTGTACTCTGGGCAGGTAAGCTTGCCTCCAACCTAATGAACCAAGGCCATCTATTCTCTTTCCACATCAAAACATTCTTCCTCCATCTTTCTCCCCCATCTCAGCAAAATTGATGTTGTCCCCCTTTCAGATGACCCAAAGTTTGGAGGGGTAATTAACTTGTTAGATGTTAGAATCAAAATTCAGAAAAAAAAAATTCAACATAGACTAGAATATTAGGCCAAAACCAATGAAATAAAATAGAACTTTACAAGTCTAAAACAATATGACGAAGTTCAAAAAGCCCGTGTTTTAGATTTAGGTAGACCTTGGTTTATATTCAAACTCAAACCACCATCTTTTGCTCTGGTTAAGCCAACTGTTATATGGGCATTAAAATACCTACCTCATAAGGTGAAGGGTAATTCCTTGGTAATTCCAGCATACTTCCTGAAACAGCAAGAGTTAGTTCCCTTTCTCTCCTCATCTTCCATACAGTGGAGATCAAGTGACTGCCCTATTTCGTTGTTGATAACACTGACATTTTCCAAGTCATATGGGCCTGAAAACTCAAAATACTGACCCACGGACCTTGCATCTCAGAGCCAGTCACCATCCTAGAGAACTCCTCTGTCTATTTTGGCTCAATCTGTGGGGGCATTCGTTATCATCATCACACCCACTTTCCAAAGAAAAACCCAAGACTCAGAGATACTAGGCAATTTGCTCCAAATCTCTCGGCTTGATCAGTGGCATAACCTGATCCAGTGACTCCCAAGTCCGGGTACATCCACTCCTTTACTGTGATGTCTTCCCACACCTGTATTGTCCCTTTAACCTTCTGAATGGTTTTCCTGGTTCTCTTCTCTGCTATATCCTTCCAGCCTGTGCAGTGACTGACCGCCGATGGTTTTTCCAAACTGATGCCGTCATCACTGAATCGTTGTCCTCTCAGACTTTTCAGTGGCTCCTCATTGTTTACAGGGTTCAATCCAAACTCTGACCTGGCACCTAAGGTTGACCATAATCTTGTCCTAACTCACTTTTCCAAATTTATCTCCAGCCATTTCCCAAAAGGAACTCTCAACTTCATCCCATCCTGCTAAGTCTACTGTTGGCCCACAAATACCAGCCTTCAATCACCATTTATGAATACTTGCTTCTGTTTGTTCCCCGAACAAACAGAAGTGGTCCGTCCTCCTTTCCTACATCTGCACATCGTCGTCCCTTTTTCATATCCAGCTCACATCCACTTTCAGGAAGCCTACTTTGCACCTTCTACGCAGGCTTTGGTGATCTCTCCCTGATTGCCAACCTCTCACATATGCCTTTAAACTACGTGGTCTGTGCCTTGGTCAGGCACTATTTCCTGACGTTCCCCAGGTCCCTCGGCATTGAGCGGGAAGAACACTGAAGAGGTTCAAAATTGTTTACTAATCAAATTTAAAAGGATACTGTGTCTCTTGACCAGCCATATGAGCTATTGTTTCTAAGACCTGAGTAAGGAACTAGCTATCCAGTGCAAAGTTAATTCATTTAATGAGAGAGTTCCCAAACCTGTCTTTGCTTCAGAATCACCTGGGATTTGAATACTGATTCCAGGGCCCATTCCAGGCCTACTGAATCAAAATTGGGTGGGAAGGGGAAGGGAGGAAATTTGAAACTGCCAGAGTTTATATCCTGGCTTTACTACGTATTATCTGAGTAACTTTGAACAAGCTACTTAACCTCTCTGGGCCTTCCCCTATGAAACGGTGATGATAATAGTATCATATGAGGTTGTTATAAATTAAATACTTAACAAACATGACCGATGATGATGGTGATGATGATATAATTATCCAGGGCCAATCTGGTGACCTGAGTTTGGGAACCACTGAGTTAATGAACTACTCTTTCCTCTCAAAGTTTCAAATGTCATGGTCTTAAAACTTCCGGTATTAGCATTATGACATATTACATAAGTCTTATTTGTCTTGAAATAGTGTACTTCAAGGAAGGGGAGCTAAGTAAACAGATTTTTCTATTAAATTAGTTTATTTAATCCAAATCATGAAATACACTTTATGCATGATTAAAACAACAACAACAACAACTAGTTTCTCTTAGGAAAAGAACTACCCATTTACTATATAACTAAATAGAGTAATCCAACCAACTTAACATTCAAAGGAAGCAATCAGAAAAGAGATGAAATAATACGTGATTTCTTCTGCTTAGGACAATGAGTCATAACTTCTTTTTGAAGAAGCAGGTTTTTAATCTTCTACTTTAATTCATTAGAAAAAAGTTCATAGCTCAGTTTAGTCCATCAAATGCCAAACAGTATTTTAATGATATTAAATGTAAGCAGCCTTCAAAATAGGAAGCTAACCAAAGTCACAAAGTAAATATGTCTGAATGGGGAACACAGACCGGGTAGCCCCACCTTCTCAACTCTTGATGTATAAATGGCCTATACAAACAAATACACAAAGACTGGAATTCCATCAAAGATTCCTAGTATCCACTCTTAAAGAGTCAGATAGCTCTGGGAGGTAACAG